TGGGCGGCCCGCGCCTCGGCCGCCAACCCTCGCTGGCCTGCGGGTTCGGGGCCTGTCGAGGCGCCCGGGACTGGGGGGTTCGAGGACTTTGGGTTCCGGGAGTGGGAGTTGCTGGCGAAGACTCGAGTCTCGGGGGCTGCGGGGCGGCGCTTGACCTTGTGGTGTGCGGAAGAGCAGCCATCTCCACACCGGGCTCCCGGCTTTACCTGGGGACCTGGCAGTTGTGGATTTCCTTCGTCTTTCCACTAGCATCGGGAAACCCTTCTTCTAGTTGCCCACAGATCCCTTCATTCATTCGGTCATTACGCCTGGAACCGCCGCCGCCTTCGGTGGCGGAAGCTCGCGTTCCAGCGCGGGGTACAGATATAAGACTCGCGGACTCAGGGCGGGGGCGGCTTTGTTGGTGGCTCGCGTGTCGGCCGCAGCGGAGCCGCAGTGCTGTGAAACCGAAGGGCTTCTATTTCTTTATCCTGTGGAGTTAGGTAGTGTGAGTCTGGGTTTTTTTTTTTCCTGTATTATCAAAGCACGTGATCTTGTCAGATTTAAACCTGCATGTCCTTGTAATCCTTCAAGTTGGGTCAGAATCTTCAAGCTTATTTGTCAGACTTTTCTTACATTCTTTCAGCTTAAATTTCGAAGCTTGTGAAAAATCGCTGGGTGAATTGTCAGTTCATGTAAATGCTAATAATCCCATAGCAATTTATCTTCATAGTAAACTAACAAATGCTTGGAGAATCCTCAGTAAAAGCCGTTAAGGTTGCACTTTAGAGTTTTTCATGTTACTTACGTGTCGGGTATAATTCCATTTTACAGAGGAGTAGATTTTCAAGCTACTCTGGTGTGTGTGCGGAACTGATTGATTCCTGAATGGGTGTTAAAATCCATTGTCTTGCTGCATGCTATCTTGTGATTTTTTTTGTGATGCTGTTGTAAATGCAAACTGGTGATGTGAAAGACTGAAGACTTAATTTCCAATGTAGGGGAGGCCTGTCTTCATTTTTCAGGACCGTTTTTGATTGGTGATGCCCAATGTGGGCCAGGTTCACCAGCCAGCAGCATTACCTCTGCTCCCCTCTCTGCACAGGACAGTCATGAGGACCATGATACCTCCACAGAGAATGCAGATGAATCCAACCATGACCCTCAGTTCGAGCCAATAGTTTCTCTTCCTGAGCAAGAAATTAAAACACTGGAGGAAGATGAAGAGGAACTTTTCAAGATGTAAGTCTTCTGAGGTGTCCCTGTGGAAGTATCTTTAGATGGACTGACTGAGACAGTGAGAGAGAAACGGCTCAATAATAAGCAGGTCTCTGCAGGACATTCCATAAAGAACTTGTAAAACTCCACAACCACAGTGGGACCTTGAGCTTCTCTGTGCTTTCTGGAGGAGCCAGCCAGCCAGCTAGGACTGTGCTGGGGATTATTTCTCTTGTGCTTGGATATAAGCCCTAGTGACATTAGCCTCTCTGTGATTTTTGTCTGGAACTTTGCAGAAGAATTCTAGGTTGGCAGGGCACATTATGATCCCTGTTAATTTCACGGCTTGGCCCCAGTTTGATAAAGGCTGTTTTAAGAAAGGGAGTTGTATAGTGACTAGTCTTACATTGAAAATTCAGCCATTCTGCCAAACCTTTTCCTGCTGCCCTGCTTCCTTGGGGCCAGTCATGTGAAGGGTGTCCCCAACATAGTTTTGTTACCTGGGTGTCTCCCCAGCTGATCTTGCCCCTTCCATCTAAGAATCAGCAATTCCAGCAGGCTGCTGTAGCACGCACCTTTAATTCCAGCACTCAGGAGATAGAAAGGTAGATTTCTGTGGGTTTTAGGCTTGCCTGGTCTACAGAGTAAGTTCCAGGATAGCCAGGGCTACATTGTGAGACCCTTTCTTGGGGTGGGAGCTTCCTTCCTTTCTTAAGCAGGAATCTTAACTTCTTTCTTTCCTTTCTTTCTTTCTGCCTTGTTTTCTGTTGCCTTAACTGGGTATCCTTTAAAGAACAGCTCTTGTTTGGCTTTTTTTCTAATTTTTATATGTGTATGGGTGTTTTGCCTACATGGATGTCTCTACACAATGTGCAGCCTGGTGCCCAAGGAGGCCAGAAGAAAGCAGCGGATCCCTGGGGACTAGAGTTACAGACAGTTTTGAGTTGCCATGTGGTCCTCTGGAAGAACAGCCAGTGCTCTTAACTGCTGAGCCATCTCTCCAGCCTCCAGCTCATGGTTTTGCAGGTTAGGAAGTCTGAGATCTGAGAGCATAGTGCTAGCATTTGATATGGGCCTCAGTCACATCTTAATGTGGCCATGTATCATAGAACTTGCTATCTTTAGTCTTTTACATACCCACTAGTGCCATTGTCGGCCCCTGTCCTCAGTCCTCGTGATTCCATCCAACCATCTTTACTTCTAAAGGATGCTTCAAATATTATTAATGTGAATTTTGAAATTGAGTTAATGCCTAAACTGTAACGACACATTCAAACCACAGCAGACAAATTTAGCTACCTACAACCTATGCATTCCTGATACTGTGTCTTAACACAGAATGCCAGTGGAAATGGCTTAGCTATCAAAATTGCTTTTTTGAAATTACCATGTGTTTCTCTCTTTGAACCTTCAATGAGGAACTGTAGCAATATTTGAGTAAATTTTGGATTTGCTGTTGTTTTGTTTACTGGCCTGGTGATTGAACACATGCTAGGCGTCACTGTACTGAGATAACATCTCTTGCCCCTCCTCTCTCCAATTTTATACATCTGGTCTTGAACTTTCCATTTACTTGCTTTAGCTTCCTTAATATCTAGGATTACAGGCCCGTACCTTCAGACCAAGACAGCAACTGAGCACAAGATACCTTGTATCTGCTTTCACATCACAGTGGAGACTGGCTTGTTGTTTCCTGTGCTCAGAATTGCTGGACACTGGGGTTTAGGTACATTGTAGCAAAGGTTGTGTTACTGTCTCTGGCATTCCCCCCTCCCCACTTCAAGTATACCTAAAATGTCAGATTAAGGTTCATCTGCTCTGAAGTGGGGGAGGGAGGCCTGCTCAAGGAGAGCCCATAACATACCTTTGTACCCAGAAGGTGGTGGACCAGAGCTCTGCACTATAGCCCTGGGCAAGGGTGGCATCCCTTTGAATTAGGTGGTATTTGATTTCGTCCATGCAGTGCTGACAGAACTGCTTTCCTGGGCAGCGTCCTTGGTGTAGCTCTGGAGACCAGCCCCTTGTACCCTACACCAGGGCTTTCTCTTAAGAAGTGGGTGAAGACGTATCCCTTGAGACTGAGTTTGGAAGATAGCAGAGACTTTGGCAGAGGAGAGGCAGAGGAGGGTTGCAGAGGAAGGGTGTTGGCCCAGCTTGAGGGACAGAAGCACTGGACTCATTGCTGGTGCTAGGTGCCTGAACCCTGGTGGCTACAACAGGTTCCTCCTGACAGGAAGCTGTTGCTGGGTCCGTGGAAGATGATATCCCTAAGGCTTTGTGTTAAAGGGTGCTCATGCAGTGTGATGGACCATCCAGCTTGCTGGAGCTTCTTTACCCACCTTGGGCCATGTGTACCCTGAGGTACCTCTCCTGAGGAAAATGCTTCTGCTGTGAATAGCTTTCTGGCTGTGAAGTAAAAGCAATGTGGAATTTGTTGGGCTGTTGTGCTCTCCTGGGCGGTATTTTGACTAGTAATTCTTGGCACCCAAAGACCTTAGAAAAAGGTATTTATTTGGTGAGGACCCAGTGTCCAGCAGTACCCTTATGTTTAGCGCCCAGAGAACACGTTTTCTTTTGGTGCAGTTGGTCCAGGTGTGAGTCTTAAGTGTTTCTTTACTGGCTTTTCTTATAGGCGGGCAAAGCTATTCCGGTTTGCTTCAGAGAATGACCTCCCAGAATGGAAGGAGCGAGGCACTGGTGATGTCAAGCTCCTGAAGCATAAGGAGAAAGGGACCATCCGCCTTCTCATGAGGAGGGACAAGACTCTGAAGATATGCGCCAACCACTATAGTAGGTGGTCTTTCAGGTCTACACCCTGGAACTCTAGGAGTTGGTTACCAGGGGAGAGGGATATATTTGTGATGCTTAAAGTATCTTGCAGACAAGCCTCTGAACTATGACAGTGAAGCTT